ATTATTTATGAGGAAGCAAATACTATGTTTTTAATTTATTTAATTTGGTTATTTTGGTTAAAATAAGCATGTTTTAGTTAATGGAGCCGAATCCTGGAGTAAAAGTATGCTATGATATGGGAAAAATAAGCTGAGTGGTTTTAGATGCGTTTTATCAAATTGAAATCAATATTGCGTGCAAATCGAAATTGCTTAAGCTAAATAAGTACAATAAAATTTAATTGAAGGTATGAAGACCAAGATGGTGTGGATTTTTGTGTGTTCGCAGTCTCCCTTTGTTGTATAGAGGTTGTTTGACCTTGTTTTCGCAACATGGTAACATTGGTAGGATGACATGAAAGGATGCTATCGGAAACGCGAATAATCCAGGGGAGAATGGGAGATACTACAATTGTTTAGCACCCATTTGCTCAAAGGATCGGCTTCACGTGTCTCTTTGACGAGTTATTGTATGGTGATAAGAATGGTGATACTTACTAACGATGCCGACTACGATGCCGGCGAAATGTTTGGGAATGTACCACCTTCATGGTTCAACTTTCAAAATGATCATTCAGATAATGGAGTCCGGACTAGGTGCGTTCCTCTAAGTCTTCCTACCAATATGACAAAGTTACGATAACAAGGTCAAACAACCTTTAAAATAAAATAAATTTCAAAATGAACATTATAAAAAAATTATATTGCAACCAAAGGGCTAAAATTTATGTTGTTCAGCAACTTCAAAAGGCCAAAGTACTATGTATAGCTATCGATCACATAGGAAAAAATAAAAAGATTCACTTAAAATTTTTATTAACAAAATACTTAAGCCATGTGTTAAATTATCGCAGGTAAAAATTGAGCTATTTTAATGTTTTCTATCTGATATTGGAAAAGAACAGTAGAAAAAGATTTAGTATTATTAATCAAACTTTAAAATAAGGGAAACGAATGCTTGCCATTTGATTCATATAAATAATCTATAATTTTTATTGAAAATTACAAAATATATATTTTATTCGACTTAGACTTACTACATAGAGCTTTAAAGGCTTGCTTAAACTTCGGAATAGTATATATAATTTTGCAACCTATATCTTCGCTATTGGCTTAATTTTGTTAATCTACTTTGACTGCTTGAGTTAAGTTATGTATTCCATTTTAGCGATCGAAAATATGCCTCGAAGCAGTTCTTAATATGTGTGACGCAAAATACATTATACTTTTTCGTTAAACCACATGGCTGATAATGCTAAATTATATATAATATCAATTCGTGATAGAAATGATTTAAAATATTTGTATAAAAGTGAATCCAAATTTAGATACTCGCTTAATTTTTTTGTGGATAAGGAGATCAGTGACAAGTTTGGGATAAAATTTCTATAGTTCTCTCAGTTTTCTTGCATAGGAAGCATAAATAAAGCCATCGCTTTGTAAAAGTGTTAAACTAACATTAAGTTTTAATAATTTTTTTTGTACTGTCAATGCAACTAACGCATTCGTAATGGAATGATAAAATAAATATATCATCGTGATTGGAGAATACTAAGGAGTACATTAGGCTTGTTTGACGGTTTGCATTAAAAATGCATTATATTGATATATTATTCTTCCATAGATAGTTAAGAAAATTTCACTTGCATAGTAACTTCATAATGAGTATAGCCAGCCCTTCCAAAAGTTTTTTACCAAAATTATGAATACACACTCGTCATATCGGTGAATCCAATCGCTTAAACTAAATCAATAAATAGTTTAAATTTTAGAAATTGCTGTATTTTACCGAGTTTGATTATAAATTTTATTTTAATTGCAAGAGTAAGTGGCTAATGTAACTACATTTAAATTTTTAATTTTGGAGATCAAACTATGGAAACATTTTACAATCAAAAATACAATAAGTGCATTCTAATTTGTGTCACTGTAGCTTGCTGTGTATGAGAACGAACAGAAGTTGAATTTCCTAATTAAGTTATGAGTATGCCTCTATATGACAAGTATTTTTAGTTTGTCATGCTTCCAAGGATATATTGCATTTTCACTTGTTACTGAGTTCAATCAACACCCTCAAAAGTGGAATCGAACGTGGAAAGCGGAGGCCTTATTATCAAAATCCTATAGTTACACCACCCTGCTACAAGCGCCAGGCGGTCATAAGGCAGGTGCAACGTTCATAGATAACCAGGTTTTTCACATAGCATATTTTATTGGGAGAATTTTGATGGAGTAAGCATATATTTGTTATTATAGTTAAAAAACCTAACTCTTATTGGTAATAAGAAGGTTTTTGACACCGTACATAAATCTTAAATGAGAATTTTAATCACCCGGGATTGATTTAGATGGTGAAGATCAAATCGTGAAATTTTTCTTAATGGTTTGATTCATTCAAATCTCACTCAGTCTTGCTTTCTAAAAGGCGCTCTTAGTAAGGGATGTTGATGAGACCCAAGCGATGACTCAGAATACTTTTTCTGAAGCAAGGCACTATAAAATCCAATGAGATCATTGATTGAAGGACTCTTTTCTAATAATAATAACAATCTAAAAAAATTCGTTCAGCTAACAATAAATTTTATTCTTTACAGGATTCATTATACTACAGAAAGCATCACCATATAATAGCTTAGCAAGTTAATATATATTAAGCTAAACTCTTTTTAGTATTAGGCCTTATATATATATATATATATATATACAAGCTAAAAATGCTAAAAGGATTTTTCTGCCTTTGAAACCTGGTTTCCTACTAGATCTGGGGTTATTCAGGCGGGAGACAGACTTCTTTCCATCAATGGGGAGTCAACTCTGGGTCGAAGTGTGGAGGAACTGACTGCTCGCTATTTCAACTTTTCCATGTCCCAGGAGACAATTCTTTTAGACGAAAATAACCAAGATGAAGATAGAGTCACGGTTAAAAAGCTTAAGACAGAGTCAAAAGCTGAAGAGGATAAAGAAGAACGAGACGAAAATGGGAAACGAAGGAAGAAGAAAGAGAGAAGGGACAAACTTGATGATTTTCTGACTCAACAAACACCAAGAGTAATTGGCGAACGAATCCAGGTTCCTCTCTCAGCCAAGTCAATGTTTCCAACTCTTAAATTGGTCATTCAGTATTCAATAGCAGAACGATTGACTCCTGAATCTGGTACCTTCAACGTGAGGATAATAAGGTGCTGCGACTCACTTGGAATTAATCTACAGAGTGAGTCTATATATTACATGTGTTCGATGCCTATTATCTATCACTTAGCGAGATATTCAACTCCCTGTCTCCGAAAGTCAACAACATTACATGCTTATTATATGACACAAAGCGGCAACAGGAAAAAGGAAAGCAAAATATATTATAAGCTTTGGTATCAATCTCAAATACGGTGAAACATTTATTTATTTACTTTATTTATATCGAAAAGTACTTAATATCAAATGAGATGGACCCAAGTATCCTTAGTGTTTATCTTATCCATCCCCTGCATGTATTTTTAAATAAACCCAGTGCCAATAGATGATCTAAATGTTTTGAATCTTTAAATATAGCGCTATAATTTATAAAAGGGTATCGCATAACATAATTTTAAGTCAGCTCTAAAGGTGCCATTGATATTTACGTAAACAGTAATACAGCATCTATAACAGGTGACAGTGCTTTTGATAATTTTTAAGAAAAAAGCTATAATATTGGCAATAATAAGACATTTATAAGCTGCTGGATGAATACCTTTCAAGATAATTCTACTAAATTTACTAACCTAGTCGTTTAAAATTTCTAACTAATCTTGTTTTACCTATAAACTTTAAATAACTTAAGTCCTGATTAGACCAGTAGCATTGAATTTATATTGATTCAAGGTTAAGAAAACGTTCCACATATAATCTCGATGGATTTTATCAAGCGTCAACCGAATACATGAATATGTGTTTGATTTATTACAATCCTTCGGAAGCAGATGTTCTAGACTATTCGCGGTAAATTTAGCATTCACAAACCTTTATCAAATTTATTTTTTCCTCATACTCGCTAGTACTTTAATTAGGATAAACTTGAAAAGCTGTAAATTACTCTGAATTTCGTCTAAGCTTAACATATTATTACTTGATTTTATAATAAATGTTTAATCAAAATGACTAAAATCGAGTCAAAGATAGATATGTATGCAATAAAATAAAGAGATAAATAAGTAGATGATTTAGATCTAAATTTGGGTTGATTTTTCACAAGTGAGTAATTTTTAAATTCATATTTTAAGTAAAGTTTGCCTTAATCCCAAATCTTGTGAGTCCTACAGATAATCTCAATAGCTAAGATTTTTTAATCATATTTTGTTTTAAATTTAAAAATGAAGGCAAGCATTTCTTCTATTCAAAGGGAGATCATTTTTATTTTTTGAATCTCAAAATGTAATATATGCCTTTATATTCCATCCTCATGAGACATGAAACAAACTCAAAGTTCCAATTTATTTTTGGCAATTTTCAGTCTGTCAAGATACCGTATTCTGAGAACATGTACTAAGGTGCAGAATACTTAGTGAGCTGTAGTCTAATATGAAGAGAATATGCTGAATAATGAAGAGGCCAGAGTCTATCAAATATTCTTACTTTCATCTGAAGCTGTTTCGATGTCTTGTGAGGGAAATATAGTAGAATACATTCGTGCATAGCTGACTAATCAGCTAAAATATTCAAATCCAAATGCGTCATACTTATGAAAATATTGACTGAAATTCGCTGCTGTCCTTTTCTTTTTCAAACGGTTGATATTCTTTTCGTGTGAAATTATGTGATGATGGGTATTCTCATGACTCATAGTTTTTTCAAGGCATATGCGGCTCCATACATAGTACATGATTAATAACAACTCTGCTTATCTAGCGTTGACAATTTCAAGTATTTTCAAGTTAGCAAAGTTATTTTGAAGTATTCAAGCTCAAATTATATTGGTAAATGTTTGTTTGAATAAGTAACAGTAGCACACGCAATATAAAGATACAGATTTATAATGCCTTTCCATCGATCTCGCCAGAAGAGGACGGCTGAACCCCGTTGCACTACAGCCGTTTGGTATTAATAGGACGTTCAGGTTGACAAAGTTCACGAGACATCCTACCTCGCTTCGGGTGAAGACAGGCTTAGCCTACTTCCTTAATATGATGAACATCATCAGACCTAGAACACATTCATGTAAAAGGCTTAAGCTAACACTAGGGCAAGAAGACTATCGGGCTCTATCTTACTTCTTATATATACTCATAATCAAAATCAAAATGAACAGGCATAGATAGACGTAGGATGGTTTGGCTGATCATCTTTCATAATGGCCCTGCTACTTTCGCTCGACTGTGTGTGAGTGGGTGGTACCGTCTATGCAAAATACCGGTGCTGAATCAGAGTGATAGAAAATGGTTAATGTCAGGCTCTGGTGATCAAATATTAATGCCCCAAGAAAAAGCCCTGACCGAGACTGCGTATGTCCGTTATCAAGTATAGTTAAGATAATGAGATGTAAGCTTGTAAGTGTGTAAGTTAAGTAACGAAACCACCTGTCCTAACCTCTCAATCTAGATTCACAAAAGTTTAATCAACCAAGACTAGGCATGACCTGGGCTCCGTAATCTAGTACGTCTATTTTGGTTGATGAGATTAATATAACATGTTGAACGAAAGTGAGTGAAATTACGACCATCACTGATAGGACAAGTTGAGTCGCTTTCTTGAGGGTGGCGACTCAACTTCCTCTCTCTCTTTCAATCTATCCATCAAATATAAGGATTTATCGCTTATCTTTCTATCACCATTTCTCACATTTAACGTGTTTCCTAATCTATAATAAGTCATAATAATCATGTTTGTAAAACCTGTGGAAATATAAGTTAATTAATTTATCCAGTATAACTCTGGAGTATCGTGTGCAACTTTTATTGTGAAGATGATTGCATTTTGTTCTTTCAAATAAAGGAATCCATCCGCTGAACATGCCTCTTAAATTTTAACAACTCATCTGATAAAAATAATGAAGAGGTGAAGAATAAGATTGAGTTAAGGGTGATACCTCATTTTGAGCAAATAATCACGCCAAATCAATCTTGTGTTCTAAATAGGGTTTTCGGATATTTAATTTGCAATAACCTACATCTTATGAAAGCTGACAAAGGTGGAACAAAGGTAGGCATGGCTAGGTCAAGTAAGGTAGAAAAAATACTAATTCATTTAAATGACTGGTTTGACTAATTATCTTTTATGTATTTACCGTGTGTGTGTATGTGAACGCCTATGCGTAATACCAAATCAGAGTGATAAAAAATGGTCAATATCAGTGTCTGGTCGTCAAATCCTACTAACACAAGAAAGTAAGCAAGTATTGTTGAGATAATGAGATTTAAGCCTGTAAGAATGTAAGCCAAGTTACGAAGCCACTTGTCCTAACCTCTCAATGTAGAAGCATTAACGTTTAACCCCCCAAGGAAAGACATGATTGGGGCTGCGTAATCTACGTCTGGTTTGGTTGATGAGCTTACTTTAACATGTTAGACGAATGTGAGTGAAGTTAGAACCATCATCGAGCAGACAATTTGAGTCGCCTTCTTTTGGATAGCGACTCAACACCCTCTCTCTCATTCAATCTATCAATCAAGCAGTTCTCACTCTTCTTTATACTATCATTCGTCACATTCAATGTATTCCTTAATCTATTAATATAAATAGCTTCTCTTATCTTCCTTTTAATAGCAGTCGTACCATACTCAGTAAACCTACTAGTTTGTGATTATTATATCTCATGTCCTTCTCTGTCATGTTGTCGGTCCCTTCTGACCGTTGAACTTAGCTCCCTTTATAAGCATTTTTGTGTTCCTTTACTCGAATGGATCTGTATGTATTACCAATACAGTGTTGTAGCATCTAGATGTCGAAAATCGGTCATATTCCTCTTTAAAAGATGGCATACGCAAAGAAAGTGATGGCTTCTTTAAACAACCAAAGAAGTCATGACGATAAAATTACGACATGAAAAAAGGGCTCAGTTTGTCTATATTTGATTAAATAGTCTCTGTCTGAAACTTTTTTTTTCAGTAATGAGATATTATTAACAATTGAGCATAATGGGTACTTACCTTCCAGGAATAAATTTTTCAGCCTTTCCAAATCTTTATTTAAATGTTATTTATTTATCCGCTAGTCCCATACTCCTAATAAACATTAATTTCAAAATTCCAAACGTAGATTTATAGCTATGGTGGTAAAGAAAATAAAGCAGAGCCAATATATGATGGCTTCATATAAAGATCTCTTCCTAATTTACATTCTTCTCTACTAATCCGAATATTCATAAAGGATAAAGACCTATTCTCTTTTACTTCTATTTTGAACCAAATGTTCCCTTCACATTAGTTAAGTGAAGGTACGAAATTGTCCAGTCTTTCCTTACCAAGAGGCCAAATGAAACAATGGTCATCCACAGATCTAACCAATAATTTGTGGTTAGTATTGCCCTTTACAGGAAGGTTTCCTCAAGTCTTGCTATATAAATGTTCGCCAGGATGGGACCTAGGCCAGTTTCCATCGAAAATCCTTGTGTTTCTTCATATGACTTGCTAGCAAATGTAAGATAGATGCTATCTATAGATAGATTAAGAAGTCTAAGAATGGAGACTATACTTTACCTAATTTCTTGTGTTATCTCTGGATGCTCTTCCAGAGTCTGTGCCAGAGCCTGAATAACTTCTTAAACAGGAATAATTCTGTGCGTAGACAGAACATAAAAAAAGTAGGATTTTATACATCACGCTTCCTTTATTATTTTCAATTAATCTTAGAGGGACAC